TCTCATAAAGCCTATATCTACACATGAAGTGGAGGCGTGTGTCCATAGTCTGACTGGTAGACATTGCAGACGATTGGCAAAGGCTGCAGGAGTCTCCGATGATCAGAAGATTTCCGCAACCATAAATGAAAACACGGAATCGTTGTTTGACACCCAGTCAATGATTCGTGACTGGATCGATCGCCAGCAATGCAGCCACTATGACAAGAGATGTAGACTCACTCAAGCAGTTATCGAGATTGGTCGTCATGATTTGATTAGTGAGAAGCGTTTTACCTTGACACGATTTAAAAAATATTTGTTATAGAAGTCAATTAGAATCAATTGGAGACATACAAGTTTTGGAAAGATTAATACGGTATTAATACTAGCGATCATTTGTAAATAAAGCGTAGATGGTCCATTATCTTTACAGTATGTGTCTCGAAATGAGTCATTCGTTTATCCATGTAATCATCATATTATATGAATGTGATTTCATACCTCTTTGAAAACAGATATGAATATAAATTATTTGTATTTTAATTCCATTATTTTGCCTCATCGTACAGATTGTTTTGGAGTAAAGGACCATAACCGTTCAATCGGAAAAGACCCTGGAGGATTACACCCTTATCCCCATCAGTTCAGTAAGTTGTAGGGTAGTATTTATATGTATTCATACCTCGGAAATTGATGAATGAAGGTCCCTTAAAGTGTTTCATCCTGGTCAAAGAAAGAATCTCCGTATGTTTCCGAATTTCGAAAATATAGGCCAAACTGACAAAAATTGAAATTTATGGGGAGAGAGCTAAGTTCCGGCACATTTTGCTCAAGGCTTCATTTTGTCAAGTACACCGTGAGCTTTATAGTTGAAGTAGATTTTAGGGTAGGTTTGGATTCGGTATACAGTTATGTAAAGTGTTAGGGCTAGGGTTAACGTTAAGTGGTTAGTGTAGGGAATTACCACGGAGCACTCTGTGTCTCAATAGCACGTGTCGTACAACCTTGTGAGTATGGGATCCCGGAGAGCTGGTTGAACTTTTGAAGTCGGGGGGGGGGCGGTCGTGGCAAGAAGAGCGATTGACCTCTTCCATAGCACACGAAACATTCGTCTAATCTGTGTTTTTCTTCAGGTCATGAGAGTGCCTACATTGATGACATAAGAGAAATTGTGTCATTCCTTCCGAAAGAGAGAAGGGCATATTTCTGCAAACCAATGCTGATCTCCCTAAACGTAGACGGAAAAGACGAAAAACATCTTGAACCACAAGATTGGGAAAACAAGATCTCGGCAACAAACACTTCATACGAGCCACTGGAAAAGCTTGCTACACGCTTCCAACTAACCTTAACAAAGGCTAATTGTCGCGGTAAGATAAACATGTGTTCTCTTACATCATTTATTTTGAAATTGAGGAACAACTATTAAAACAAATGTTCCTATTATACATCCAAAACGATAAGATATTCTTTACTCATTCAATGTAATGATTATGCGGATTTGAGTGTGTGGGTGTGATTGTGTGTTTTGATGGTACTGAATATGTACATCCTTTAAATACAGTTCATAGAGGGAAAAGGAACCCCATACATCAAGGGTCAATTTGTCTTGGTGATTGTTGCACTTTATTATTTTGTTTTCCTTCTTTTCCATTGTTAAACAGTTACCATGTCGCCGCTTTGGTTGAAAAGATTGTATGCATGATTTAATAATCTATGGTAGATGTAGAAGGTCTGAATAGACAAAGGTAAAAGATTGCTAATAAAGTTAAGATTAATCGCGGAAGAGGTTTACGGTACACCATGTGTAAAGTCCTAGAAGGACTAAGGAAAGTAGATAGAAATAGAAGTGAAATGGAAAGGCGAGAAACAAACGTCGAGCCTACTCTCCTACTCCTGCTCTGCAACTCTACTCGCCGACTCAAGCCAGCTTCTCTCATCTACTCAACTCTCCAACTCAATCCAGTATTCTACTCAAACCTCTCATCCTGTCTACAACTTTCTGGTTTACAGTCCTTTTCAGGACTATACTCACTTCCGAAAGATACTCTTCCTTCCAACCTCCACTTTCTCGCCTTTCCATTTCACTTCTATTTATATCCACTTTCCTTAGTCCTTCTAGGACTTTACACATGGTTTAACGTAAACCTCTTCCGCGATTGTTCATACCACCATGCAAACCTTCAAACATCATCCAAAGTTAAGATTTTTACTAAAAAAGTGGATCTAAACAAATTACGATATATTGTTTCTTTGAAATGAACCATTTTTGAAAACTTTCTCTGTAGGGTTTGAGGTAACGGATGAAGAATTGGAAATAGCAGCCGAATTCATCAATGCAGCAAACACGAAATTGCAGCCAAGTCAGCATCAACATGCAACACGGATTGAAGCAAACATCGATATAGGCAAGAATAAATACTCCCAACCCACACACACACACAAACACACACACACACCACCACATAAGAGACATTGAGCAGTATGGTTAATAATGAGGCTGTATGTATCTTGTTGGTTTCTTGGTTTTGTTTAGCCGAAAATTGTATCAAATAATTTCAGTATGTATGTACATATATACTTTGAGATATCTGGCCAAGTCAGTAGTTCATTGACTTGACTCTTAATGCAAGGGCTAAAGGTCCAAAGCCCAGCCCGGCGCTAAAGTCCTTTGCCACATGAATCCACATTTGACAGTGTTTGTTGATGACATAAATTAAATTGGACATGAATTATAGTTTAGTCACAAGAGTGCATTTTAAGGGGTAAACCAAAACATATTGCATTGCAAACTTTTACCCTTCAGTGATCTTTAAAATTATCCTGCAAAAAACAACCGTGCACATTCGATATTGTGTTATTGGTTCGAATTCACAAAAGAAGTTTAACTTAACCCACATTAAACCCATATTTACATAACCCATGGTTTAAAAATTACAAGAAATAAGCCTACCTTACCTTGCACCCATCTAATATTGGATCGCGTCGCGCTTATTTTGCGTTAATTTTTAGACTATCGGTTATGTAAATGAAGATTTAAACCAACGGTTAAGTTTAAACCTCCTTTGTAAATTCGGGCCATTAAGTGTTAATTGCTTTTCCGATTAGACTACTACACAACACTTGAGTAAGCCTCGAAGATATACATGAAATTTCATACGGATATGATATTCATAATTTTCAAAATTAACTAGACTGAAGTTTTAAAGACCGCCCTTGCACGGATTTGACGAAAGCAACTTTAAATACGAACTCATTAAAAGTATCATATGGGGTAATCATATCTCTACAGCGTACAGCGGAACTCCTCACAAAACAGCTACCGGAAGTGGAAACGACAATGGGGATAAGAAGGCAAGCCAAAAGCTCGAAGCTCCCAAGGATAAACAAGGTAATCATTCATTTACTTCTATCATGGACAAATTACGAATAGCCCCAAAACACTGAAACGTCCCACAATACATTATACTTTCCTCATTGGCAAACATTATTATTAGTGTAAAAATAGACCACTTTTTAATGTGGTGAATGTTGAACGCGCCAAAGAAAAAGCATTCAGAATTGTTAAACATATTTCGACAAGTTTTTGAAGGAGCTCATATTTAGCAGATTGACATCAAAACATGAAATATACATGTTAGTGATTTGTTATTGACGCCCTATCTTATATTCAGAATCGAAATGTGTGTACCGCGTGTGAAATTGAAAAACTATATTAATAATGTTGAATTTCAAAGCTGGGTTTGTGGGGCAGGGGGCGGGCGTTATATCCGCTGAAAGTAGAACGAAATAAATCAGCTAAGATCAACAGACATGTATATGGTATTCAAGGTGATACGTCAGTGACATCCTTCATTCTATTAAAATTGTTATCAACGGCCTTTTTTCAAATCGTTTCTTTTTGGTATACGTTTATACTAATTATGTACATATACATGTTATTCCAGTTCAATTTGTATAAAGTAATTAGTCTCTAGATATTATTCTATAGGCATCACGTATTGTAAACATACATTTCTGGATAACCAAACTTTACTGTTTTTTTTTTATTTATTTTTTTTAGTTACCACAGTGGATGGGACTTGGCATGCCGACCATAATGAACATTCCAGTAAAACAGATGTTGAAGGCAATAACACGCATCTTGCTGCATCAAGTGAAGTATCACATCCGGAAAAAGTATCAGGTAAATTTTGATTTGCCATAATTATTTTAGTTATTTAGTGTGATATAGTTTTTTTTAATTCTAAATTGACAGAAATTCTCTTTAGGAAAAGTACAATATGTGTAATTTCAGCCGTAAATATAAATCAAAATAGTGACACAAGGAAAACATAACTCGGCCTGAACTTGATTCTTGATAGATTGAAACAATTGTGTTGTATATTTTGTTGTATAAAATATTTCGGGGAAAAATTTACGTTCTTGTCACTTTATATGTTTATAACAAATAAGAGAGTTATGTGGCACTATATCACAGTGGTAATACTGATTCAACCAATGTGTAAATTACAAAGAATATTAATTACAAATACTCTCATAACGTTCTTACTAATTTGTTTTCGATTTGGTGCTCTAATCAGCTTTTCTTACTTCTCCCTTTAAGTTGGCCCAATTAGGTACTAAGATTAAATTTCCTTTTACATTTTAAGCAATCGATGTTTATTGTTCACTTCAGGTTTTATAACGTTTATTTCTTCATCTATTTCCGTTTTGAAAACACTTCAGTAGAACGATATACTTCAGTATATTGACTTTCAAATAATATTTTGATGTACAGAAATATCTATATTACAAAAAAAGATCTACAACGTAATTAAGGAAAATATAATAGCCATCAAGAAGAACGGTGAGAACAAAAATATACAGAAATAGGAGTGAAAAATACTACCCCCCAAAAAAATTGTCGTTTAACTATGATAAACATGTGTTATTTTTCAGAAGAGATCCATATTAATGATGAAAACGAAGAAAATTTAAAGCAAATAGTTGGTGATTTGCCATCAAATACACCACGTTCGGTCTCGTTCATGTTGAAAAGATGGAAAAGTTTTTATCGACAGAAGGAAACATGCCACAGTGAACTGCGAAAGTCTCTGGAAACACTTGGATTAAAAGGTATTTTACATTAAAACACTAGTATTCAGATAGTAAAACAAAACTTTAAAAAAAAAGCATTTCATGCTTCTTATAATGCATATAATCTGTCTTTCTTTCCAAAACAAACCAATGCTGTCGAGGATCGAGCTAGATGCCAGTACATAATCCTGAGTACTCTCTTTCTCGGTGTGTCAGTCATTCATTATTGTCTCATTATCCCATGATTGCAGGCCTCATTAAAAACGTTCCTTATATTTCATTGAATGGATCGAATTCGCTTTGATGATGCATTTCATGTCGATAATATATTGAAGTTTAAGGTACCATTGCAATGAAATATGAATTATTCTCTGCAATTTCGTCAAATATCAACTTAGTATGGCCTCAATTCCCAAACATTAACATTAATCATTTCCTCCATAATATCAATTTAAAAAAAATAAAAATTAAACTACATTTGTTAACCTTTCGTTTGCATTTTCTGTTTAACCGATAATTACGTATGCGTGTGCGTAAATTGTGTTTGCGTGCGTCTGGATATATTTTTAAAAATCTATATTTATATAAATATATCAGGAAATTGAAAATGAAAGTTTAGACCTTCTGCAACAACTATTGAAAGAACCCTCAATACATATGTACATATGGCTGGAAATATTGTTGTCTTGTATCTTGATAGAATGCATCGTCAATGTGGCGCCTGCAAAATACCTGTATAAAGTTGAGCTACTTCGAATTGCTTTCAACTTGCTGATGAGAGATGTTCTTCCATTCATCGACGCCCTCGGGATGAACCCAAAACAAATCACCAAGTATAAAGCTTCATCACCAGAGCTGGAAAGAGGATCATTTGGCCTTCTGCGACAACTCTGGAAAAGAACCCCCAAATCTGACACTCACCGCCGCCGCGATTTCTGCCTTGCTTTGAGAAATATTGGATACGAGGGTTTAGCGCGATCAGTCTATTTAGGTTAGACAATATTTTTCAGTGGTTTATGAATACGAATAATAATAGAAAAATGTACATTGTAGTAGTATGTGTAATTGCTTCGATTCAGATGTTAACATCTTTTAAGAATGTTTTTACAGCTTTGGAAGTTTTTTTGAGAATTCTGTTTAACCAATCATGTGATTTTCCAAAACATAATTAAATATCTAACAGTAAATCCAATAATATAGTAATATAGTATTATACTATTGTATCATGGCTAGAATTCCCTTGAAGGAAGAAATGGCACTCCATGCTCGAATGACGTAAAGAGGGGACCAATCCTTTGCAATCCATTATACCCTCATTATAGTAATGTCTAGTGCTTTCTGCTGTACACTTTTTGTTATACATTTCAATTATTATTTTCGATACATCTGTTTTCATAGTGAGGGAATGGTAGCAAATGTAATATCATTTACCATAAACGGGTGCCATTGTATCGTGTGTATATTTAGATACATTAATATCTCTCTGTAGTGCGATGTATTTCTATATATATATATATATATATATGTGTGTGTGTGTGTGTGTGTGTGTGTGTGTTGGCGATATAAATCATTTCGTATTATAAAATGATCACAATATTACAATACGATGCAAGGCAGATTCGGGTTTTTAGAAATGTTTGAATTTATAGGAAACTTTTGTTATCATCATTTGTATCTTTAATTGTTATCATTGTATTATTATATATATGTCAATATTATTATGATTATGATAATCATTTGTATTAATAATATGATCATCGTTATAATTATGTCCCTGACTATCCACGCATATTCAGATTATGAGCCGAGCCAGAGTGAGTTGAACTCTACAGTTTCTGTCCTATGGAATGCCGAGAGGTTGCAAATCTGTACACGTCTTGAACTGGGTGAAGATGATCAAGCAGCATGCCTCGGGACTGAGGGGCAGGTTAATCTCGTCGAGGTTGTAAGGCGATGGACAAATCAGATTCGGCCCGTACCATACCACTACCGACGTGAGATAGGAACTTGTCTTCGGGCTGCAGGGAGACAGGACGTTGCTGATCAGATTTTAGCAGGTATAGAACGCCTTGATATGCATTATCGTAGGCAGTAAAAAGCATGTCATTATTTTTTACAATCATTATTACCAGACCCAGTTTACTAATAATCTTTGCATCAATTTTCATTTGTTTTAATTTCTATTTGTCTAAATTTGCTTGCACAACACACATCGAAAAGAAAATCGAACTTAGAGGGATTCTTTTGAAATTATTTTCATGGAAATGAGCACTTCATGTCCAGTCTAGATATTCCTTATTCATAACTTCGCTACTGCGGATAGCTAAGCTGCTAAGTACGAGGTTTTTTGTACAAATATATCGTCTACAACTCTTTTCACCGAATGTAGGCTGATGCCTAGAATGTGAACTGAAGCCATTTTCATGTGTTATCGTAGTTATAAATCATTTAATTTTTGTTTTTAAATTCTCAACTCAACTATTAAAAGGGAATCTACGATTTTAATCTCTCACGTGGCAGTTATGCAATTCCAAGTTTGACGTTTCAAACTTATGTTCATATACCTAAAACATAAATAATCCTAGTAATTAAACGGTAGGAAGACAGTGGCATCTTTAATATTATTATATTGATATCCCATCATAGGGAGAAAAGGAAAGATGCAAGCTGACGAAAATGTCCTCAGAAACATCTGCAGAAGATTGGAAGCTGACAAGATCAACAATCTCTGCAAATTACTAGATCTGAAAAGAGGAAAGAGCCTGGAAGAAAATATCACTTCCGTGATCAAGGGGATCAACAAGTGGATCAACGACTTTGATCCATCTTCCTGGAAGTCGAAGCTAGCAGTAACACAGCACAAACTAAAACACCGCAAAAAGATAAACAACAATATGTTTTCTCTTGGGTGTCATGAACTCGCGGAAGAGATCATGCATTTAGAAAACGGGATACTGTCCGAATAACTTCCATTGTCCTTTCAGGAAGTAAAGACCATATTCAAGCTTGGTGTGTGTAGATACACCTCTCGTATTTGATAGCCAACTTTGCCTAGAATAACATATTTGATTTAACTCCATGGATAATGCTTCAATTGCATCGACCAATTAAGTATTGTTGTCATTAAATCATATTACCAGATGTTGGTCAAAAAAATTCACTGCCTTATGAAATTTGGAAAAGATGAAACATTAACACGCACAGTAAGTAAATAGTATATCGAATTTGTTTGGATTTTTCACGTTTCAACATATGCATGGACATGATACATGTTGATTACAAAATTAACATAAACCAATATAATGGAAACATGATTAAGACAAACGCAGGGATGTTGAAAAAATGAAAATGAAAGTTGATCAGTATTGATTGACCCAATACATATTGTTGTTTGTTCACTAATAAAGAAAACAACATGTCTAATTATCAACCACTTAACAGTTATCAAACAATATATTTGAGTTTGACGTCACAATATTTCTTTACATCATGTACGTATGATAACATTATCAATCAACTTTCTTTAAAAGGATTATTAATACAGATTGAAGTTATTGATACACCACTTCGAAGTAAACCTATGACACAAATAACCTGAGCATCTTCAGTATTACACGAGGGATATGCCTACTAAAGTGATGGAGGTTCTTGTCATTCAAAAAGATTGTTAATACGTACAGAAAACATTAAAGCATGGGGTCAATTATATTGAAGTTGATGGTGAACAGATTATTGATAAACGAAGAATTGTAATTGTTTTAAACTCTTATTCGTGTACAATCGGGCAAAACGATAGCACACTTCTGATAATTTGATCACCTGCAATATTGATTCAACGAAATATGACGAGCACTTGAAGGGTAACTTTTATAATTCATTGTTTTTACGGCCTGTTATCATTGATGTGGTTTTAAATTGTAATGAAATCAAAGTCCTGGTATTTAAATTTGTCCATTACACAAGGTGATTTCCCCGATACTATGGAAATTGCAATGGTAATTTCCGTTTTTAAAAGTGGCAATAAATCATTTTTTAAATGATTTAGAACAAGGTATATGTTGAAGGTATTTCCAGTTTTTAAGCGTGTTATCCCTTTTAGTAAAATATTTGATCATATTTTATGTGATCAATTGACTTTTAGAAAATGTTATAGTACTTACCATGGTCTCCTTTATTTCATTGATAAAGTAGAGAACGTTTATAAACTTAATGAATTTTTAATTGGTGTATTTTTAGACTTATCACAAGCTTTTGATTATGTTGATCATAATATGTTTACTTAATAACATGTGGTACATGAACACCGCCAGAGTCGGGGTGGTGGTATATGCATTATATATCGCTCTTCTTTGAAAATTTCTAGAGACTGCTCTAAACAATTCTCATCTTTTGAGCACATGGACGTTCTGGTCCCCGTCTCTCCTTCTGTGGTTTTTAAGACATTTGCAATGTATAGGCCGCCCCCATCGTCTACAAACAAACTGATGTATGACAGCTGTGTGGCAGATTTTCTGACACTGTTAGAATTCGTAACCGTTGATCAGCATCACCTTGTGCTCATGGGAGATTTCACATCCATGTTGACGAAACTGACAGAGATGCTAGGAAGTTCCTTGATATCTTAGACACGTTTGATCTTCGGCAGCATGTAAAAGGAGCAACTCATCAAGCCGGTCATACCTTAGATCTCTTGATTTCCAGAGAGGTTGATCATCATATTGTGGCCATGGACATCGTATCAGGACTTCCTTCCGATCACTCAGCAGTCCTGACTGAGCTCAATTTTTTTAAGTCCAGCAACTTCTAAGAATAATCTCCCCGTCTATGTCCGTGAATCCCCAACTCTTCACGCTTTTAAACGTAGACGTAAGACCTATCTATTCAACACAAAATGATTCCCCATTATCATACCGTTTTTTATAACCACATGTCCTGTCTCCTTGTAATTAATTCATTATTATACAATGTACATAAGTATTGCAGTTTCATAAATGTTACTTCATTACTGTATTTTCATTTTCATTTTTCATTAGCATGTTATTGTTATACATTGTTAGTTAAGTAATTCGTACAATAAAGCGGAATGTTCATTTCACGTTTCTTTTTTATCCTAATTACATATTCAGTTTAACCGTAATTTCAATTTAATTTGTTTTGTAAAGCGTTAAGAAACTGTTTCTGTTTACCAGCGCTTTATAAATCTTAGATATTATTATTACTATCAAGTTACATTTTTATCTTCTATTTCATTTGCTGATGACACCACTTTGTTTATATCTGGTAAAGACCTCGTAGAAGTAAATACTTTATTTCATTTCCCTCATTGCTCAAAATACATAAGTGGTTCCTTGGCAATAAATTATTGATTTATTTAGAAGAAAACAAACTAAGTAATTTTCAAAACGAGAAATTAATATGTAAATGAAGTTGCTAGTAAGATTTGCATAAATAGTATATAGGCCTAAATTAGGCAAGTACACCAAGTAACCTTTTGAGGTTTCATTATTGATGAAAACTTAACTTGAAAGGACAACATCAATTACATTTCTAATAAAGGTTTTAAATAGACTTAAAGATATTTGACCATTGTGCATACTTGTAAATTTGTATGACGCTATGATTTTGCCATATTTCAATTATTGTATAATTGTAAGGGGCAATTGTGCCTCGTATTTGCTTCAAAAGTTATTTCTATTGCCCAAAAAGAACCGTCAGGGTTACAACAAACTCATATTATAGAGCTCATAAAGGTACATTATTGTTTAACTTGAAGTTTGTAAAACGTTATAATCTAAATGATATACGTTTTGGAGCTTTAATGTTCTCTTACATGTACAATATAACTACAATATAACTACTTTGCCTGATTGTTGTAATGATTATTTTATTTTCAAAACAGATATAAATCAATATAGTACTAGAAATTCAAACAAACTCTATATTCCTTAATTTTGCTATAATTTGTCAAGAACTATTATTAGATATAAGGGATCCGTTAATTTGAACAACGAGATTATATCAAGGGATGTCTAACATTATCCGCTTTTAAGCGTAAATTTAAACAAAAACAAATATCGAGTTATAATATATTTGTAAAACTTTATTCAAAGGTACTATGTCCCTTTTGCAGCCAACCTCAAATTCTGTAGAACTTTGCCGGAATTATGAATATGTCATGTATGTCCTATCTGTGAAATTTAAACTTTAGCAGTGTCCTCATATTTAAATTATGCAAGGAAACACGTTTACTTGCTAGACTTTACTATCATACACTACAGAGTGACTGACTGGCTTTTTTCTTCTTTGGTAATAACATACATGAAATGAGTTGTAAAGGGTACATGATATTTTTTCTACATCAATAACCCACTTCTTGTGATGGCCAAGATTAAACTGATTGAATCTTTGCGCAGCATAAAACGTATGACCATTCGGTACAATTGTCTGAAAATCAAGACTATTACTTTTGGGCTCTAAAGCCCTAAAGTCGATCTGACAACTAATAGTCGTTATTTTCCCACTTGAAAACTTTTTCAAGCCCCACCTTTTTTTAGGGAAGTTCTAAATTAGTATTATCTTTCAAATGCAGTTGGAATTCATCTTTTTCATTTTTTGGGGCCTGCAAATGGGACATAGTACCTTCAATGCTGCTTGTCCTATGTACATAATGTATGTTTGTCTCAGCTAGTGTAATGTTTTTATTGTCAATATTTGCTTTATTGAAGATTATACTAATAGGTTTGTATTAAAAAAAGGACTGGCCTAGATAGGTCAATGGCTTTTTCTGGTCCATCACATCCGTTATCTACCCATTAATTACACACATACATATATATATTTAGTGTTACTGTTGTTGTTGGAATTGTTTTTATCTTATCACATGTTATATACATATATTGCCTTTTATATTATTGTATTTCATTGTTACGTTTTACTTTTTCAGCCATTATCGATCCACTGCAGGATGAAGGCCTCAGCATGCTGTCTCCAAATGACTCTGTTTCATTGGTATACTGTTGTAAAATTTGTATTGGTTGTAAAATAAACTGAACTTGAATTCGACGGTTTAACAAATATTTGTATTTTGAGTAGTCAATTTTATTCATATTATAAATGTAAATTACCTTGAATATATTTTTGCTTATTTTTTGCAAGTGAAAATCAATAAAATCCTTCTAAAGGGAAAAAGGTATGAGAAAAAAAAGATGTTTAAACAACAGTAACAATAAATTGATAACAAAAAAAGTAAAATGACCTACATGATATTTTTTTAATGCAATATTTTTATTCAAAGCCGTACAATACAATGAGTCGCGAATATGAAACCTTTACACAGATTAAAAATGCAACATTTTCGATAGCCAACACGTAACGAAACGATGTACACATATTCTTCCAGTTTAGGTAAAGAAAATCTATAACATTGACAGTAACTCTTCAAACGAATGAGCAGTGATTATATCGGTAGAGTTTGATACTGCAAAATGCCTTTCACTAAAACTAAGATCTTTCTTTTTCTCACCATCAAATTTGGCGACGTAAATTAGGAAAACATTGTTCATTCTCATTCCGTCTAAAGGCCTTATAAAAACCCGTCTTTGTAAGACGCCAGGTGCCAAAACACTTATAAAACTGATAAATCATTCTTTTTGTTTAAATTTATGGATAAATTATTTGTTTACAGCTGAAAAATTGATATTATGCAAATATTGTAAACTATTTAGGGAGTCAACTTCTATTGTAAGGAAAACTGAAAGCCCTTAAGTAATTGTTCATTTACGTCGTGTTTCTCTTTTCAGTGTTTGAAGTGTCACAGCATATTTGCTATTCGATACATGTAAATAATAGTTTTGCAAATAAACAAAGTGCTGTTTCCTAGATTGTTATTGTCTTCCAGCCGGATTCTTCATTGTATATATTGACACAATAAGTCAAGAATATTACACTATGAACATGACATATAATTTCCGTTTGAAGAACGTAAAAACGGCGACATCTGAGTTTTAAAAAATTCCATAGAGCAAAACTTAAAAGAA